GACTCTCAGGAGCGGCAGGGGGCCCCAGCCCCTTGTAGGGCCACCTGTGCCTGAGGTGGCCCTGGCAGCCAAGGACCAAGTAGGCCGACTGGCACCGAAGACACCAGGCCAGGCAATGGATCCATTTAAGGCCCAGACCTCTAAGGGTAAGCCTGTTATGGGACCTCCCTCTAAAGCAACGGAGAGTCCGCGGTCCCCGGACTGCAGGCATCAATCCCTCTCACTACGGCCTAGGATCCCGGCGCCGCAGCTTTGGTCTCTGGTTAGAAGACCCAGGACCCGGGTCACCCAAGTCACGATGCCATTCCCTGTACCCACAGTACTGCCATGCCTCCCGCCAGAGATCACCGTGGTGCAGACCCCCATCACCTAGGCAGTCCCCCCAGTGTCAATCCCCCTTGGTGCAGGATCACTCCCGGTCGCAGCACCAGTCTCCGACTCCCCAGTACTGCTCTTCGGGCTGGCACCATTCCTCATCCCTTCCTTACGAGTCGCCGACAAGGGTCAGCCAACAGACTCAGGCATCTACGGCTCCACCGTGGTCGCCGGAAGGGCACTGGTCTGAGTCAGAGGGAGTGTTCAGCCCTTCACCTAGGAGAGGCGAATCGCTGATGGCCCGCGAGATCGGCACGGCCCCAGCAGTGCTGGCAGCAGGGGCAGTGGCCCACCTAGTGGCAGTACTGAAGCCCCTGGGATGTACCCATCATGCCAGTCCGGTATTCCCACCATTCCTCTCAGGCTGCATCGGACAAACTGCCTCCGGCGCAGCCAACTCCGGCATCGAAGCACAGTGCTGAGTCCGATGCAGGTACGGTGCAGCGGGTCCCGATGCCCAAGGAGCCATCCCCAGACAGGCAAGGGAAAGCCTCCCCCGCGGTACAGCCATCTTCATCATCTCCGGACGAGGCAGTGGCAGACCCCTCGCAAGCGAGCAGCCCTCCCCAGCTACTTCAAAGAGCACCAGGCACTGCTCAAAAGGGTACTGATAACCTTAACTTGGAGGTCAAGGAGCTAGTGGAGGAGTCTGATGACCTCTTCAATGTCATGCCTCCAGTCAGACCTGGATCACATTGCCTGTCCAACCAGGGGTCCTGAAAAGTGCCAAGTCTGTGTGGCAGACCCCCTCTTCCATTCTGCCTGCCTCCAAGAAAGCTGAAAAGAAATATTATGTCCTGGCAAAGGGATTTGACTATCAGTACACCTACCCTCCAGCAGGGTCTCTGGTAGTGTCTGCTGTCAACAAAAGGGACAGGCAGGGACAGGCCAATGGCACATCCAAAAATAAAGATGCCCAGAGACTGGACTTATTTGGCAGAAAAATTTATTCAACGGACAGCCTGCAATTTTGGGTGTCTCACGATCAGACCCTGCTAGGCAGGTACAACTTCAACTTGTGGGACTCCGTCAGCAAGTTCAAGGAGGGCCTTCCACAGAACTGAGCCCAGGAATTTGCCACCTTGGTGGAAGAGGGTAAAGAGGTGGCGAGAGGCGCCCTCCAGATGGTCTGGGATGGTACAGACTCGGCGGCCGGAGTGCTTGCCTCTGCGGTGGCCGTGACGCGCAGCTCCTGGTTACGGTCCTCTGGGCTATCCCAGAAGATGTAGACTACCCTCCACAATCTCCCATTCGAGGGAGCAGGGCTCTTCTTGGAGCTGACCACGGCCTTAAAGACTCCCATGCCACCCTCCAGTCCTTGGGCATGCATACTTCGGCCCGTAGGGTCTCTGAGATTCGGGTACTTACCTCAGAACTGCCCTATATGGTCTTTTACAAGGACAACGTCCAACTGCGTCCACACCCGGCCTTTTTGCCCAAAGTGGTCTCCCAGTTTCGTATGGGCCAGGACATTTATCTGCCCATCTTTTTTCCAAAGCCACATAAGTCAGAGGAGCCCCCATAAAACAAAGAACCCCAAGCTGAAGAGTGCAGCGACATGGGATTTCTACCCATGGAACCATCTTAGGCTCCAATGACACTAGGCGTCTCTTGGCTAACAACAAGAAAAATACAACTCTTAAACCTTTCATTAAAGCAAATCCGTAATCTCCTGTTGAGCAAACGGAGAAAGAGTGAATGAGAGATGAGCTGGATAGGGAGAAATGTTTCTGATGGAAAGAGAATTGATTGTAAGAATAATATTCATGGATAACATGTTGGAGCCCATGTGGTGCTGCACTGTGTACTCTAGCTATGTACCACAACTCGCTAGGGAGCCATTTTAAATGCCCTGCTGGAATATGCAGCACCCATGGGAGGGCCCCTGGGACCTCCATTGGAAGGGGCTCACCAGTAGTTTAGAGGCTTAACTGAGCTTACAAGAGAATTCCCACCTTGCCAGATAGCTTATTTTCCCTGTTCACTTAGCCCAGAGTTATGCAGTGCCATGAATGTGCGGCTCAGTCCCAAGCCATGTGGCTATCTTTGACCTTAACTGCATATGTTATCACCATCTGCCCACACTGCCTGGTTGGCCTCTCCTAGTGTGCAGCTCCTGCTGTTGTCATGGTTTTGTCATGCATTGTACATGTAGCTGCCAGCATTTATTATTCTGTGTAGCAATAACACAGACACAAAGGAAAAGGGCACATCATCACAGCACAATGTGGCTGCCAGTCATCCTGCAGAGAGAAATTAAATTGAGGACCTGGCAGCCAGGGATGCGTGGGGTTGGGTTGTAGCGGGGAGATAACTGCAGGTTTCATAAGCATAACTGGGACATGACTTTGGAATGGGGACATTTCCAGAAGACCCATGTAGATAGCCACCTTTTTGGAGCAGGGATGGGGAGGGTGAGACTGTCTTTAACAACCCAGCATTGGTTTAGAGTTTACTTTTGCGCTAGATCTAGTCCACAATGAGAACAGCTGTCTTTGATGTATTTGAAAAAAACAGTTTGAGAAGTTATAAGTAGATGAATATTCCTGAAAGCAAGCCCATTTCTGCTTATTGTGCTTTCTTAATTTATGACCCAAGTTTTTTAAAATGTATCAAAGGACTAAACCCACAGCAAGTTTGAAGCTTAAAAACAAACCTGTGTTTGAATTACTGGCATGCAGAGAATCTTTACTTTTGTTAATAGAGATAGAGATGTGTATACAACCATTCGCACTATTAACATGGATCAACTGATTTTGTTTGAACTTTCCTCCTGAAATTGGTCTGAGAGTTGGGAATTTCAGCCCAAAGGGAGCCATTTAGAAAGCTGAGAGAGAGAAAACAAGGGTCTTACATGGAATGAATTTTCATTTATGTTCTTGATGGCTGTGATGTCATTTATTCTAGCAGCATTTATTCAAAGAAACCAGGAAGTCTGCATCTCAAATTTCTCAGCATTATAAGCAGGTTCTTTCAAATGTTGTAGAAATCCAGTACTAATTCACTGTACTTTTAAACTGCTTTATACTTGTATCATCTTTGAATCTTTCAAACAAATTTTAAAAGACTTTGCAATCCTCTGTTAACATGGGAGAAACCAATTGAACCTATTTAAATCCATCACTGACATTTGAATAAAATTTGAGTATTTTTATTATGTTAGAAATATAATTTATCCGATGGTGTCTGAAGTTCATGGTTAGCTGTGACAAGTTGGTGGCTTTCCTGGCAGGATATGTAAACTTGCTTAGGTGTTTCTACCACCCTTGAAAGTTTTGGATGAAATATATAGGCACCTCTGTTATCTGATAGCTTACTGCTATAGAACCTGCAGAACAGCGTTTAAATGTAAGTGAATAAGGCTACTTTAAATCTATGCACTGAAAACATAAAATGTTGTCAGAACGATTAATATTAAATAATAGGTGGATTACCAGTTGAAGATGTGGCCGGAGGTCTCAGGCAGGGCTCTGTGAGTACTTCCATATGGATCTCCTCAAACAATGAATCTTGTGGATGTATTAACCTCACTTTCAGCTGAAGGGGAAAACTTACGTAGCTGTGTCTGAGATACATTTCACTCCAGCATGGTTCTCAGTCTCTCAAGTGTGCTTTCCATCACTGTTATTTCATGATCTACAAAGGAGTTTGTTTGCATTTTAAGGAAACTTCCTCCATTTTATTATTTCAATATAGACCAACTAGAATCACAAGAACCCAATCTGGTGAAAACATTTCCATTTATATACATGTTTTCTTCCTGACATGTTTGTATATGCGTGTGTATATAGATATAACCATACACACTGTATATATAATAGTCATGAATTGTAATACAGATGTTCTCTGTTCAGAATTTTTTGTCCAAGAATTGTGCATATGACAGCTATCGAGATTACATTCCACCACGATGTGCTATTCTGAGGCACAAAGAATATTATCGCTGATGTATGGGCAGAGAAAATAACATTGCCATTCTCATAAGTTCACAATGTCTTCCCAGCATCTTTTTTCTATTTTTCTGGAACCTCTTAAAGTGGTTTCCCTCTTTCAGTCTTAAGCAATTCATGTTCTCTGCTGGCTAATTATTTATTTTATGGTATTTGTCTCTTTTCATAGCACTGTATGAAAGTGTCTAATACAGTCCAAAAATCTCTAGTACTATATTGACTAATTTTCGTATTATGGAGTCCTGAATGGACAAGTGCAGTCAGCTAATAATTAGGTTTTTCATGCTTTAATTTCCCCCTTTAGTTTAAATTAGTAGGACCCCATTACACTTTAGTCTCAGCAGACATGTTCAGGAGTTACTATTAGCAGTCACTACTATTGCTATCAATTTTATTTCTATGAACAAGACTTCAGCAGACTCATTATTTATATTCACTGTGATTGGTTGAAATCTAGGAACTGTACATACAGGTGTGTATAGTTTATACGATTGTATATTCTGTATATATGCACATGTTGAAATATTATCTTTTTTTGTGTCCCTTTCAACACAGAGTAATAAAACCAAAGCATGTTACTGTGTTAGAAAAGGTTTCAGTATTACCATAAAAATCATCTGCCAAACCTGTGAACTCTGCCTTTTTGATAACTTACTGCTCTCATTTTTTCCACAGGTTCTATAACATCAATGTTTGTCAGGCTCCCATGTGGTGGTGTTGGAGTAAGTATTTTCTTTAATGAGTAAATAATGCCCTGTTTGTTCTCTGAGTCCCAATGGTAACAAAAATTGTTGCCTTTGTTTTCTACTGAGCGGATAATTACTACCAGATGTTACCCATAAACAGGGTCCTTCTGGGGTGTGGGATTGCAGTGACAGCCTCACATGTGTTGCTTCAAAAGCAGTGTGAGAGTATTAACTATTTTGAGCACTGAAATCTATTATGCATGCTTTGTCTCTGGCTGTTTAGCAGAGAAACCTCATTTCCCAATCAATGATGTTTAATGGCTTAGATTATGACATTTTAAAATAACTATCAACAATGTGCTGCAGATATAGAGAAAGAAAGATGTACGTTCTATGTCACTCAGACTGTGTAGGTGGCTTCGTGTGTCTTGTTTGTGCTTCAGAGCTGCCTACATAATGCTACAGGTGGAAAATATTTTATTAAAACAATGGTGGTTGAAGGATAATATCTGGGATGTTGCTATAAGCAGTAGTTTTGTGTATTTCTTTTTGGGCTACATGACTGTTCTGGAGTGAAATGTTTTGCAAGTTGCACTGCAGAAGAGAATTGTAGTTTTCAGCATCTGGCATCCTTCAGTATGGAGTCTAGGACAATCATGTCTGAATTATGAAAGAGGTGACTAAAATTTCCATCTATCATGAACAGCTAAACATCAGTTTTCAGCAATCAAAACTGCATATGAATAAAGGGATTTTTTTCCTGCTCCCATAATGTTAACAGATAGATACAGTGAGATGAAACTCTAAAGCCTGGAGTTCTTTCAAGTCAATATTTTTGCTATAAAGATTTTGCATAGAGTGACAATACAGAAAATAATCTGGAAGAAAAGAAAAGAAAAGGCATTGTGTTTGAAACCTCACATTGGTAGTTCTTATACATAATTATAGCTCGTGAGGTTGAATCTGGAGGTCTGGATTCTGTTATGGAAATGAAACAAAATTGTTTTCTTCCTGAGTCTTTGCAAAATTGCTCCTTTGAAAATTATCCTGTCAAAAAAAATAATCTGCATTTATTCATACCATCATCACCACCATCAAGCACTCCTAGAGATACTTTATTTTGTATTGTAAATATACTGCAGTCTCCTAATTCATGGCAAATTTTTGGCTACACTTGAAAAGGTTTGGATTTACTCTGCCCTGCAGCCAGGCATGCCATTCAAAGCAAAAATTATCATTTGCAAATGGAAAATGAATGGTAACTAGCAGAGACAGCAACTGGGCTGAACACAGAAGGAATTAAGTTCTGAAACAAAAAAACAAAAACAAAAAAATTGTTCTGTGGATAATGTGTGCAGTATTTGTACTCATATAGTTAACATCCTGATGCCAGTTTTCTCAGTGTATCTTTACATACCTGTTTACTATTCCAGACATACTGATAGTACTATAGCGTGTAGAGATTGCCCAAGATACATATATTTGCTTTAATAGTTATCTATCAACATCAAGCTGACATCTAAGATTTTTCCTAAAAATGTGCCTTAAACAAATCCCTTTCTGAGATAATTAGCCTATTGTTTGGGTAGTTTTGCCACTTCCTTTCTTAATACAGAAAAATATGTTCACCTTTTCTCCAGTTTGAATTCACTTTAGATCAGTGGTTCTCAAACTTTTATATTGGTGACCCCTTTCACACATCAAACCTTTGAGTGCAACTCCCCTTATAAGTTAAAATATTTTAAAATATTTAACACTATTATAAATGCTGGAGGCAAAGTGGGGTTTGGGGGTGGAGGCTGACTGCTTATGACCCCTCACATAATAACCTTGTGACCCCCCCCCCAGAGGGGCCACGACCCACAGTTTGAGAACCCCTGATTACATAGAAGTGTGGGATTTGCCCTCCACCCAGCATTGTCATGTAAGTTTTTTTGGTTTTGATTTTTAAAAAAAATAAAATAGCTTGGATCCAGACTTTATTGTCTGCCACTACAGTTGTAGAACAGTCTCACCGCAACAATGCTAAAGCTTCTATGCTTCAGTATTGGCTAGTATGGCTCAGTGAGGCAGCACTCATAAGGCCTCTGTTCAGAAATCATCTGTTGACATGGACAGACATGAAGAATCTAGTGAAATATCAACCGATGTCATTTCTGCTGTTTGTGAGAAAAGATAATTGAGGAGGCTGTAGTAAGGCAAGTGTGGTATAGGCCTCAGGTTCTCTGTACCCGAGTCAGTCTGGTTTCAGGCTTGGGTCTGAAACTGCTCTGGTTAGTGTCTTTCTGGTGATAGATGAAGATCAAGTGGACAATATCGGACAATTGCTTGACTGCCCCGAGGCCTCTGTCATTCTTCCTTTCCTGAGGCTGTTAGGAAGGTGTGTATGGAGGAATGCATTACACAGCCTTTAGTGTGGTGATGACACCAAGCTCTGTCTCTCTCTTTTCTGACCTCGCCGGGACAATTGAGTAACTGGCTCAGATCAGGGTTTGAATGAGAACTAGTTGTCTGAGATTCAGCCCACGCAAGACTGTGATAATGGTGGCAGAAACTTCGGGAGAAGAAATGGCAGTAGCCTTGTTTAAGGAAGTGCGCCCAGTATTTGTAATGTAGGTTCACAATTTGGGGGTTGTGTTATATTCCTCGTTGCTCCAGAATGCCCAGGTAATGGCCAAGAGTGCTTGGATAAATCTTCCCTTTGGGTGTGGTTTTGTGCCTTTGTCATCTTGAGGTTAGGCTACTGCAGTGACCATACATGAGGCTACACAATGAGCCCACCAAGGAACTTACCCTAGTGCAGAAAAATGTGTCCAACTTCTTAAAAGGTGTTTTCCACGCAGAGAGCACATTACACTGGTGGTCCGTACTGGACAGGGGCTGTTGATTTGTTTCCAAGTGGGGTTTAAGGAGTTAGTTTAGAGCCATGCAACCCCAAATGATGTGGGCCTTGACTTGACTGCCTCTTTCATTATGTGTTGCTACTGCAGTTGTGATCTGCAGAGATGCATGAGATAATAGCCCCCTCGTTCAAAAAGAAAGATGTGGTGGCATAGAGTTTTCATTGAAGATGCAGTTCTGGAATCTTCTTCCTCCATTGGTCCATTAGTCTGAGGATGAAAGGTTTAATTCTTCAGTGTCCTCATCTCTGATGTCATTCTAAATAAACAGTTGTAAATAATTTTATTACTTCTTAAATAACCTATAGATTAGTAATTTTACTAGTTTTAATAGGTTTTAATAGTTTAGAGTAAATTCAGATTACGGGGTTACCCCCCTTTCCTGTATCCCGCTCAGGTACTGGACTATGCTCAGAACTCTGGGCTTCAAAAATCTTACATCTGGGAGATCGGAATCCATGGCTGCACCACAGCACATTTTCACTCTTCTAGATCCAGAATCTGCCCCCATCCATCAGGACCCTCCGTCTCCAGGGAACACATCTTCTCTGAGAGACTCACCTATGGTACAGAGCCTATGCTACACAGCTGCCCCTTTCCCCATATACAATGTGCACGTCTCCGACGGTACTGCCACTAGAGCCTAAATCAGCCTTTTTGTCCTTGGGGGATTCGGAACCACCGGAAGAACCACCTCTCCCTTACGCTCTTATCTTTTTCCCAGGAGACCTGCACAACCCTGGGAGCAACCACCTCGTCACCTGGCCCAGAGCCATTGGTATCCCATACCATAGGGATCTCCATTACCACCCATTGATCCCTCCTACTGGCCATATTAGGTGCCCTGGGATCAGTACTCCCCCTTCATAGTCTGTCCGCTCCACTAGGGAGTCGCCACCTGGTTCCCCTCTGAGGCAACCATTGAACTTGCCCCCAGACCCGATGTCCGAGGAGGAGTACTATACTCCAGTTGCAGCGATTCCACCGGAACCAGCTATATTACCATCTTCATTGCAGGACGAAGCGGTGATCCCACTAGAGGAAATCCAGGACTCCCAACACAAGCTCTTGGACATCCTCCACACCTCAGGTGTACAAGAGTAACCCTGCCTCTCAACAAGGCCATACTGGAGCCAGCTAAGACAGTGTGGCACCCCTCCACACACACATCTATGCTTCCACACCCAAAGGGGTGGAGAGACGCTATTATGTGCCAGCTAAGGGCTCTGAATTTTTATTCTCGCAGCCAGCTCCCAATTCAGTGGTGGTTCAGGCTGCTTCAGAAAGGTTCAAGCAGCAACATCCTAGATCTACACCTGCAGATAAACAAAGGACGCTTAGATCTACAGGAGAGGAAATTTTCTCATCCTCCACAGTACAGGTGAGGATAGCCAGTTATTGCTATGGGCTAAATATGATTTCCAGAACTATGCTAAATTCAAGAAATTTGCCAACAGCCTCTCACAAAAGAATCATACTCATTTCCAAAACTCTCATTGAGGAAGGTAAATTAATAGCCAGAACTGCCCTCCAGTCTGCAGTCAATGCAGCCTATACTTCCTTTAGAGCCATGGCTATGGCCATTGTTGTGTAAAGTGACTGTCTTGGCTTTATGCCTTAGGGTTACCCAGGGAGGTCCAGAACACCGAGGACCTCCCCTTCAATTAATCTCACCTCTTCAAACAAAAGACGGATGTGTCACTTCACACCCTAAAGGCTAGGGCTACCCTTTGATTGTGGGGCATCTACACACTTGCACCTAAGATGAAGTTTCATTGCCTGTCAACAACACTGCTCTACAGGTCTCAACACTTATACTGTCAGAGACCCTACAAACTACCAGGCAAAAATCAGAAGATTCAAAGGTTCCACTTCCTCGTGCCCCCATCAGCCTCTATCTCAATCCCAACCACCCATCAGAAGATATTTTTGACACGAGCCCAACAGCCACGAACCACTGAGCCTAGCACCTCACAATCCCACTACTCCATTCAGGGGTCAGCTACCTTTTTTTGGACACTTGGAGTGCGCTGCTAATGGATAAGCAGGTGCTGAAAGTCATCCACTATGCTATTCAATTGAGTTTGTAATGCTACCTCCTCCAAAAAAAAGTCCCACTTCAGGGACCACTCTAAC